AACTCCTGTAGTATTTACGATGTATTTATGATTACGACTATAATACAGATTACGACCGCTTCCCAGCAAGGTTTGTAACTCAGTGGAAGATTAAGGCTACTTTATGTTTTGATATCATTTACGTCAAAGCTCATCCGACCGCCAATAATTTGGAATTCTCAACTAATGAGTACCCGTGGAGGAAAGAAGGTACAGTGATAACAACATCTGATAATGGTGGGCATGTGGTGCACGCATTAGCGTGCGCAGCCCAACTGGCGACATATAAGCCACTAAGGAGGCTAGAGCAAGCGAGGTCTTGGTAGTGTAAGAGATAGAGCACAGTGCCCGGAAAGCATAAGTACGGGTTCGAGTCCCGTCCACGACTGACGTTTTGTCCAAGATCATCAACCTTGTGAGACTTCCGGAACGCGTACTGCGGCGAAATAACAGCAGTTGACAAAATACCAAGTCAAAACAAATACTATACTCAATTTTCAGCTGACAAGGCTTACCGTGAAATGAGGCGTAACAAGGAATCCCAATCAATCATTGTATCTGGAGAATCTGGAGCCGGAAAAACAGAATCCCAGAAGGCCATCTTGAGGTTTGGTGTTGCTTATCCTCCCAAAACATGACCCTTTGAGAGCTTTTTTATCATCAGAGTTAAAATTTTTTTTGATAAGTATGTATGGCACATTCCTGGGAGCCATCCTTGCTCGCAGTAACTTATTTTAACATGAATTGCAGGTAATTTGTATGTTTTCAGGTACCTTTGCGAGAATTGGGGAGCAGCAGCCGGTCCCATTCAAAAGCGCATACTTGAAAGTTTGTTTTGATTTATTGCCTTTTTTCTTTGAATTAGGTTACACTAACGAGTTCCGAGGTTAGCTACCTTACAGCAGCTAGGAACCGGGGGAAACACTCATCAGCCTCACGGAGGAAAAGCTGTTAGGGCTTGTAGCGGGACCAACTTTGGAAAGATTAGAAGGGTCTCTGAAGAAAAAACCTTCATCTTCACATTCTCCTTATTATGACGAAGAGAATCTGTTAGCCATACGATGAAAGTGAGGGAACCATTTATTGGATGCATTGCCACCTTTGGTCGACCCCTTTTGATGGGCGCCTGCTGCTTCCGGTGTTTCCCGAAGTTGGGATCGTGGGCTTCCGCATCAAAATCATGACTGCTACCTCTAACGGTACATCTTGCTCCTGATAGTCTCCCGAAGTTGTTTCAGGCCCTAGTCCCTTCAGACTATCAGGAGTCTCTTTAGTAAGGGTCGACAGGTACATAGACCCTACATAGATAAAGGTTTTAATATTACTAATAGCTCATCATTTTTCACTACAAGAACCTCAATTTCAGCGAATCCAATTCTGGAAGCATTTGGCAATGCCAAAACGCTCCGAAACAACAACTCGAGTCGATTTGGAAAATTTGTTGAAATCCATTTTGGCACGGATGTACGCCTCTTTTTTGGGGAGTAACGATTCGTAGGATAGAGAAATGTCAAATAAAATTGTTCAGGACAAAGTTGCTGGAGGCTACGTATCCCATTACCTTCTGGAGAAGTCGAGAGTGTGTCGGCAGGCTGATGGCGAACGAAACTATCATATCTTTTATCAGTTGATTGCTGGAGCTCCGGATGACCTGTACAAGAGGCTCAGACTTGCTCCTCCCGACAAATTTAAGGTAGCACTTCCATTCCATTGTTTGGCCACTGCTTTGGGGTATGTTGGTGAATGCTGTGCCTGCTTTATAGTACTTGAAACATGGTACGACAACTTTCTTTGTTCGGCCGGGCTCCAAGTCAAGAATCAGCTCTGAACGCCTTAGCGAACAGGTATAATGATATTGTATTGTATTTCGTCTTAAATACTCAGTTCGGGCTTCGGGTCGTTTGAGTGGTAAAATCTGAATATAACGACATCAGTCTGGCAGCTAGATAAACAAACTAATGGCAGGATTCAGCATCAGCACTAACCTTATTAGTTACATCTTCTTACTGCTTGCTTACCGGTTGACCAACCTAAAGCGGTGCTCCACCTCCGAAGTAATCGCGTTCCTCAAATTCTCTACTTGGTTGCTACTCCGAACTCCTAATATGTATAGGGTTGTGCTACGCCTACGTTTTCGTAGGATCTTAATGAAAGTCAAAATGAACCAAAGAGGTCTGAATGTCTGGAAAACTTCGTTTACTGTTTTACAGGCTCGCAAATCCGGTCTGTTGGTCGATGCCATCGTTGACGATGCAGCCGATTTTTCCCATCTGACAGATGCTCTCGGAAGAGCCGGACTTACCAAGGAGGAGGTATAGTGATAGTTCCATAATAAGAAACGCCACTAACGAATTGATTACGTCAGATTGGTGATATATGGCGTACGGTAGCAGGAGTGTTGCATTTGGGGAATGTGGAATTTGATGAAAATCCCAATGACAATAGAGGTAAGAAGTGCTAAAGTGCCCAAGAGTTCGTTTGTTGGTGGGACCTGTATATTTCAGGTGGTTGCATGGTGGATCTGGGAAGTGAACAAGCTCTGACCATCGCCTCCGAACTGCTTGGCCTGGAAGTTTCCGAAATGAAAATGGGCCTTGTATCAAGGATTATGCAGGCGACGAAAGGCGGAGTCAAAGGAACCCTTATAAGGTTCTATAGTCTTTCTTTGTTTTCTGGAATTTCCAGTGTGGATCACAACATTCAGGGTGCCGCTAAAACCTCACGAAGCTGCCGCTGGACGAGATGCACTGGCGAAGGCTTTCTATTCGAAGCTGTTCGATTGGCTAGTGTCACGAATCAATAAATCGATTCCGTTTGAGAAAAGTGTCAGCTACATCGGTGTACTTGACATAGCTGGATTTGGTGAGGGGAATTCCTTATGCTTCAAGCAGTAGGAGACTAGCCAATTCTCTCACGTATGTCTTGTTTCAGAATTCTTTGAAGTGAACTCATTCGAGCAGTTCTGTATCAACTACTGTAACGAAAAACTGCAGAATTTTTTTAATGAGCGTATTCTGAAGCAAGAGCAGGAGCTCTATGCCAAAGAAGGGCTAAATGTGCCGAAAATCGACTACTCCGACAATAATGACTGTATTGGTGAGTTTTCCATTAAGTAGTTTATTGAATAGCTGTCCTTTCTTTTGATCCATTGGGTGCTTTGCAGTAAACGCCCGAGGCTCATTCCGCCAGGGCTAGATATGTGTGTGTTGTAGCGCTGAGGATAGAGGGGTTATATTGCTCACTAAAGGAGAAAAAAGCAAAGTAAACAGCTTAACCACGAGTAAGACCCTCATTTTGGCTGCCCCTCTTTTCAAGTATGTGCGGAACGGGCATAAAGATAAATGGGGTTTAGATGAATCCTTGTTCTTCAATTCTTCAGCTTGATAACTTGGTAAAGGCGTGAGCAACTGATAACCAAACAAAAAGTCCGTCAAAATCAACCTATTGGCTGCTTTCATAGTCCGCCGGCGTGCGTGCCGGCGTGCCAGCCGAGGCAGTGCTAGGGGGGAGGAGTGTGATTTCGCACAATTATCTCGAACCTCAAACTTGGGTAATTAAACCTGTATTGGACTACCAAATACAATATAACAGATAAGAGATCGATGCAAGGGTGGTTAAGGCACATTAACATAAGTGAATAATAAATGAGGTAAAAACACGGTACTAATGATGCATAATAGCTAAAAAAAGGAGTAAATGCGAAATGCTCTTAAGAATCAAACTACGAACAATCTAATGTTAATAAACTAACCAACAAATATCAGTAAACTAAATACTAAAAGAAGAAACAAAATGCTTCTCTAGTAAAATAATGAACAAGATG